CCAGGAGAAAGGCGCCACCGATATGACGTAATTTCTCCCTGACATGGGCCGCTGGCCTCAGCTGCAATGTGACCCTGGGAAAATAAATATGGGTGTGTATTTGCAGGGAATGTGACGCTTGAAGAACAGAGCTCCTTGCAGGTTTCTCATGGGGTTGGTTGGGATTTTTAGATGAAGAACATTGTGAATAATGAAAGTACTGGGATAAAAACGGCCATTGTACAGCACCATCAGGTTGTTGTGCGTGCCCAGATTCTAAAACACGACTGTTTTAAGACTTACAGGACAAGTGATCCAAAAATATGTTGTATCTTTGAAAATGTTATACCGATGATGGATGCTTTTTGTTAATAACTCACGATGGCACTTTAACGATCCACCCTTGTGGGGAAAGAAAACGTTTAAGGGGATACTTGCAGCTTGTTCTCTGTGATCTATCCAAACTTTCTCCAGCCTTTTCCAATCTGTGCTCAAAGCGTTTGGTGCTGGCGGCTCCTGCCCAGCTGTCAAGCTACATCAGCCTTCTGAGAACTGGAGAAGAACACGCACCATGACCTGCCTTTGCCTCCACCGCCTCTAGACCACTTCTCACAGAAACATTCACACCTCTTTGTGATCAGACAAGACCAGAGAAAGAGCTCTGATGATCAGAACTTAAACAGAAGTTGAACAAAAAGAGGGTTCTGGAACACGGAATATCTCTTGATCCCTCCCTGATTGCAAACCTGTCTGCCCTGTTGCGCTCCTCCAGACACGATCCAGTTATGCTGTACCTCATTTTTCACTAAGCACTATTTTCTCTGAGGTCATGGATCTCCTGGAAACAGTCAAACGCTGGAGCTGGGTAAACCTCTGCCAAACTCGTCACTCAGTGCTTTGTTTGGTTTTGCAGAGACATCAGCAGGTCAAGATGCGACCTCCTGCAGACGAGTTTGCCGTCATTTAAAAGCTTCCATGAGCCATCATAATTGCAGGATGTGTTATGGAGCTTCCTTTTATTGGGAACAAAAAAATTACTGCAAAGTTGGAATCCTTCCAAATTCAGCTCTTCCTTTACTCGTGTTTCAGATTAGTGTTAGCAGTGCAACGATCCACATCGGTCTCCCATTTTCAGCCTCACAGCTGCCTCTATGCCCGATCCATCCCCCAGTCAGTGTCTGCCTTTTGACTTTCTCTCTCTGCTGTTTCACTTCTCTCTCCTGTGCTCCCACGTAATTTCCCTTTGACTCCAGGTCCATCCATCCTCCTGACCTCATCACTGCTACAGTCAAGCGTGGAGGGATCCAATCAGCCATGGTGTTCAGATTAAACCACACATTATTGTAATTGAGAATAATGGTTTCCATGTCACTTTCTCTGAATTGTTCTTATACATATCTGGAGTCAAGGGGGCCGGAGGCTCAGAAGTTTGCCGTTGTGTGTGCATGAGTTGGGTGAATTTCAAGCTATCCATCTTTTCTGGGTCTTTTTATTTTTAATAGTCAATAAAACTCTTATCTGAACTTGAACACCTGGCTTGTGAAAATATTAAAGCTCATAAAAGAATAGTACATTCTGCCTTTTCGCAGAAGAATGTGAGCAAAAAAATACCGGACCATAAGGGATTGAAAATACAGGATGATTGTTAAAAATACAGCTAAAATGCAGCTAAAGACAGAAGATAAAAATTGCTTGTCTACAATCCATCAGCACAAAGCCCATCAAAAGGTATTAGTATTTAAAACTGTTTGCCTTGCAGAGCTTATTTCTAGGAGCAGCAAAGCTCCTTGGCATGTGCAGAGCATGCAGTGCCATTTTGACAGCATAGTTAGGAGGTACTGATGAAAGTGGAGAGAGCCGAAACCGGCTGCCTCTCAAATTAGCTGCAAAGCCCTCTGTGCTGTCACGTGGACTCCAAAACCCACCACCCACCCCCCGTTCCACACAGATTTGGTTGCAGGGCCTGTATTGAGTTTAGCATGGCCACAGGGTGGCGTTTTGCAACTGATACTGTGCATGCTAAGCTGAGTGTTTATATAGCAGAGCATCTCTGTCTGTGCTGTCAAGCCTCGTCTCTTTTCCATGACCTCCCACAGTTTGCATCGGTCGTGTCATATTGAGATGCCTCAATTTGATTCTGTCCAAACACAAATTCCGCTCTTTCTTTATCATCATTAGGCTGGATGAATTCCCTTGTGTTTTGCTCATTAACTAATTAGCATGTCTCATTCAGTTTTCCAAGCCCAAAGAGAGTGAAGAAACCACTTGGCAGCAGCAAAAAAGAAGAGCTCTCGGCTCCTTTCACCTGTGCAGCAATACAGTGGGTTGTCCAGTAATCAGAGGGTTGTAGGATCAATCCCGACTACCTTGTTGTGTCCTTCGGCATAACACTTAACACTAATTGTCAGAGGGACCAGTGGCGCCTGTGCTCTGCAGCCTTGCCTCTGTCAGTGCACCCCAGGGCAGCTGTGGCTACAATGTAGCTCATCACTACCAGACCAGGGAGTGTGTGTGTGTGTGTGTGTGTGCGTGTGTGCGTGCGTGCGTGCGTGCCAGTGTGTGTGTGTGTGTGTGTGTGTGTGTGTGTGTGTGTGTGTGTGTGTGTGTGTGTGTGTGTGTGTGTGTGTGTTGTAAGGTGTCTTGGGGCTTCTAGGACACTAGAAGGCCATTGTGCTCTTGCTTGTTTTAGTGAGCTAGAGGATCATCTACAGCCATAAAACTGTATCCATGCACAAACATTTTAAACACTTCTTCCTTCTCATTTTGTTTTTTCTCAGATGTTCTAATTTTTTGGGGAGGAGCATCCAGTGGACCCCCCCCCCCCCCCCCCCCCCAAAAAGGGGCTGAAGGGGGTCAATCATACGTATGTATATTGAGCTCCGGACGTCACGTGACTCTCAGAGAGTAGACGTCATGTTGGCAGGCAACAAAGGTAAGCAAAATGAACGGGATCGGCTTGGATTTTACTTCGCCGGAGTTTACTTCACACTTTAAAACAGAAGAAATCGCTTTATATATTCAGAAATTAAATAGACTAAACATCTCCGACCCTTACTGTGCCCCTGGGATACTTTTTAAAAATGCCAGAAGCTGTCGGAGCGGACCTCTTACCGGATTTGAGCTGCCCTGACATTTATAATTTATAAAACTGATTAAACAAAAACAAATAACAGATTTACATGTAAGAAGTTTAAATAGAGTGCTGTGCTGTTTGAATGTACAAACTGAACGCCAAGAGAAATCACTAGTCTGACTTTTTTTAAATAAAAATGTCAGGCAGGAGCGTCTCAGGATCTGTCTGAGATCTGTCTCGGTGAGACAGAAAATAGCAATCCAAAGTGCTTTTTATGTGTGATCTGACAATTGATCAGCCACTGCTTAAAAATGAAATACAGCTTAGCCGGTTAATTGCTGTGATCATAAAACACGTAAACGGCAGCACGCAGAAATCACGAGGCAACGTTTTACGTGACGTTTACTTGTTGCTATGAGTAATAAGACAGAAAAAGCCACGCCAAAATAAGTTTAGGAAGCCCACTAAGAATCGTAATAAAAGCATTTAAAATAAATACCTTACACAGTTGAGGAAACGTTGGTTTAAGTACCTGATATGAAGTGGTCGCTGCATAAGCGAAAACCTTTACTCTCGGGATCCCACAGTTTCATTTTAACCCGGTCACTAGCGGTTTGCCTTGTGACAAACCTTAGAACACATGGGCTTGAGACAACATACTTGCACATGTTGAAATTAACGCTTTTGCTTTTGAATGTGACTTAATTTGTGAACCATGTGTCCTGCCTAGGCTATGTGCATGTTATTCAGGTTGAGACCACAATCGATGTTTTATGTGGTTCTACAAAACCAATAACGACTTAACAACAGCTCAACAGTTGTGTAAATGACTGTGTTTGTGGATGTTTCTGTATTTATTAGCTGTCTAATTTGGCTTACAGATGACGAGGCTACGGTGGGTGCACTGCTTAGCAAAACAAAGTTGACTATTTATCTCAGTGGGAGTCGCTCATTTTATTTTAAATACATGAATGCTAAATTGTCCGTGAATTTTAAGCATCTTGGTTTGTTACACAAAACTTATATTGGGATATATTAAAACAGAACATTTCTGGATTCATGTTTGCAGAAATACACCTTTATTAATTGTGAAGCTCGAGGGTCAACATGCCTGACTTTCGTGCAACCTACGGATGCTCGAATCGCCGCTGTGACAAATCGGGACAACGTGGGATCACCTTTCATCTGTAACTGTTGCAAAGAAAACCAACACTTGTACACTATTCTGTCTGTTAATTGTTATTATGTAATTAAAATAATTAGAAACTGCTGTTCCGTTGCTGCTGCTACCTTCTTCCATACATTGTTTATTTGGTTTTATGAACGTTGAAAATCTCCACAAGATCAATCCATTGTCCATCTCATTTATTACTGTAATCCATTTTATTTATTACCCTAATCTGTCTTTTGATTATTTCCTAACTTTTTCAGAAAGCATTTCCAAAGAGCTTATATTAATAAATGAAAGTCAATAAATAAGAAAACAAAAGTTAACAAATAGTGAAAATTTGGGTGTCGGTTGTCTTATTTGTTGGGGTGCATCTCCAAAAATCTGTGCAAGTAAAGACCGTAAATATTTTCAGAGTTCTTTTGCTTCAAGCAGAAAATGGTAAGTAGCTTATATTTGATATAGCTCCTTCTAGAGTCCTGGGACCCTCCAAGGAGCTTTACAACACAATCAGTCATTCGCCCATTCACACACAGGTGAGGATGAGCTACATATAGTCACACCTGCCCTGCGGCACACTGGCAGAGGCAGGTCTGCCGTACACAGGGACGACTGGTCCCTTCGAACACCACCAGCAGGCAAGGTGGGTTAAGTGTCTCGCCCAAGGACACAACGATAGTGGCAGACTGAGAAAGGCTCGAACCTGCAACCTTCCAGTTATGGGCCGAGCACTTGACTCCTGTGCCACCGTCGCCCCAAGAAAAGTGATCCCACTCTTACCTGAGAGAAGTTGAGCCCATTTAGGGGGTGGCATTGTTCCTCCACCCGCTCTACTGCTCCTGTCCTCTTCCCCATTCGCTCTGCTTCTTGAGCCAAAAACAAGTCTAGCACCGGTGTCCCTCTGGAACGTACATCCCATTCTGTCAGTGAGTTAACCATCAGCATCACCCACACAGGCCTCTTCCTCTCCCAGTTCCCTGCAATTGCATTAAATAGGTAGTCAGCATACAGGCCACGGCCTCTCTGGTCTGCAGTCATCCAGTGGGGCATCATATGTTTCACGTAGTCCAGGTGGCGTTTGAGGCGGCGATACAGGTCTCGAGGTAGCAGAGTCTGCAGGTTCTCTCCGTGCGGAAGCAGTTGGCAGCTGGTCAGTTTGGAGATGGTAAGTGGGTCAGTCAGGTCCAATTCAAAGAAAACATTACTGCTGCTGTGGAAAGCCTGTTTGGAGTTGACAGGAATGTAGTCCCAGACCCGGGTGTAGGGAACATGGATGGTGCCAAACAAGTAAGATGGTAGATGAGGAGGTGCACGGTTTACTCTCCACAGGAAAGAGTTGAGGTCACTTTGCTGTAAAACAGGGAAAGGAAATCAGAATTAAAATTGTCACCTTAGAGCAGCTCAGCTGTGGCATTAAAGCTGAAGGGGACTCTTTATTTGTCTGCTGTGGTTTACTGGCTCAGGTCAGCAAGTTAAAACCTGAAGTATGATTTAAAGATGACGGCAGAAATATGAATTCTGTTTGATGCGGGCCTTTATGGCCGGCTGGGAGTTTATAGTGGGACCTTCCAGGCTGTAAACAGACCCCCGTGTATTATTGAGGTGCACCTCGGTTGCCAAAGCCTCTTTCAGCCTGGGAAACATTTTCAAGGCAGCAGTGCAAATATACTGGAGCTCATAAAAACCTGAAAGAAACCTGCTCTCTGTGCTGACCTCACAGTGATCCTTCAGTTTGTCTTCACAATGCTGACAATCTTAAATATAGTGTTGTGTTTTCCTGTGGCTTGTGCAACAGGATGCATTTATCTATTATATTCAATCAAAGCAGTGTCACATGGAAATGAAATAATCAGCCGTTTTAAACTAAGTTCTGTTGAATTTTAAATCTGTTTCTTGTTTAGTGTTCTCAACCAAAGTGCTACGGCTTTTGATACTGGCATTATTCGAATACGAGAAAGAATTTGCTTCTCTAAACAATATCAAACTCCTGGCTGCCGAGATGCAACGTAATCAGGGAGGGATGAAACCCATTATAATAAAATAAAGTTATTCTTAGTAAATGTTTACCTCTTGAAATTAAATCAAGACTCCATCCAAGTGTGCATCAGTCATAATCCACACAGCCAAACTTGCCTTTATAATTTCAAATAGCAGCCGAAAGTGAGTGAAGTCTTCTCTCGACTCTTTCGTTGCAATGTTGGACTTTTTTCCTGGCACAGCCGGCCCCTCTGAAATCTAAATGCAAATGTTTAGCCTACATAATTTCATAACCGCAGCTTATGGGTCTTTGCAGATAAGCTGAAATGTTTAAACTGAGCAGATTTTTAAAGTTTTCTTTGAAATCGGCTCTCGTGCTGCAGACAGACCGACGGGAGAACTTTGCAGCCGCGTTCTGAGAAGAGGAAATTGGGTCATGTCTGCACCAAATGCGCTCTCAGGCCTCCCAGCCATGAAGGAGGACCTTCCAGAATGGAAAGTGTGGTTGTGAGTGATGATCTTCTAAGTCCTGATGAGAGAGAATGAGATCCTCTCTGCTGACTGGAGAGCCGCGCGGTGCGTCTTTTTATGGAGGTAATTACCCTTTAATGCTTAACAGAGAGCGCTGCACTGACGCATACGAATCACATGAAGCGAGAAGCAGTCTTCGCTCATCTCTGACCGCAGATCCTTTCAGGACATTATTTGGTATAAATGTCCTGAAGGTTCAAATCAAAACAGTCGAAGCAGCATCCACCTGCTTCTGGCTGAGCAGTGTCACCGGGAGAGCGCGATGCGGTCTGGATTTGTCTCTGCTCTTTACTCCCTGGCTGAGTCCAGGATGGTTTGTTTTCTCATTATGTCCGATATGGGTTTTATTAGGGCACGTGCTGTGCTGAAACACGGCCGCTTCTGTAGGTCAATGAAACTTTTCCAAATGAAGTTAAGTCAGCCGTGGGTGTTCCCCACTTTGTCACATAAATAGCCATAAAGTTGGCGAGCGCGCACAGTTTTTCTTGGCTTTCTCCATAATAAAAGACTGGATCCAGACGCGCGTGCACTGTTTTAAATTTCTGTTTAAAAAATAACATGTACCTTCAAATGTCAGGACATCCTCATAATTAGGCCCGATTAATAAATAATAATAATAAATAATGAATGGAAAAGATCAAAATTATAATAATAAATAAGGATTCGGCTAGGTGCGCACTTACTTATAAGTTGTTATGAGGAAATAATACAATTTATTGTAGAAGCATTTTAACCAGATAAATAAATGATCAAATTGTTTTGGTAATCTACATTTAATGATGCCATCATTCACGCTGTAAATGAACACGAGTCTGATTAGTGTTTGTGCAATAAAGAAAGAAAGAAAGAAAGAAAGAAAGAAAGAAAGAAAGAAAGAAAGAAAGAAAGAAAGAAAGAAAGAAAGAAAGAAAGAAAGAAAGAAAGAAAGGCTGCGCACGTCATGATGACAAGTGTAACGGGAAAGTTTTCTGAGCTCCAAAAAACCCAATAAGGTAAGCACATGATTTAACTTTTAAGAAGAAAACACCCTATAGAAAAAGCTTAGACTTAAAAAAGCCTAAAGACTCACCGCCTTTGGTGCGTCGCACTGCCTTGGTCCGCCCGCGCGCTGTGCGCCCCATGGTGCCACGCTCAGGACTCCACTCAGAAGGACCCAGCTGAAAACTGGCAGGAACATCATCTTGACGAGGTGACAGGACACTTGAGATGGTCCGCTGCTCTCAGTCAACCTCTGTCTCCTTCTTCTCTCCTTTTGAAGTTAGAGAAGCGCTACCGGTGGCCTCCGGGCTCACATGTGCAACTCGGCTGGGGGACCATTCCGCCTCCTCGCCATTCCCTGACGCACTCCGCCTCTCTTGGGTTTGTTTTAGTTTCGTCTTTGCAGTCTTTCGTGTCCTCCTCGACTCCCCTGCGCACTTCTGAAGCTGGAGCTTAAACTTCTATGGAGAGTTTGGCTCTGAAGACGTTAGAGTTTCATATGAAAGAGAGAGAGAGAGAGAGAGAGAGAGAGAGAGAGAGAGAGAGAGAGAGAGAGAGAGAGATAGAGAGAGAGAGAGAGAGAGAGAGAGAGAGAGAGAGAGAGAGAGAGAGAGAGAGAGAGGTGGGACGGTGTGAGCGCCCCCCTTTCCACCTTAGTGCGCACAACTTTAACCACTTTAGAGAGAAGTGGCTGCAGGTTCAGACTGAGATGTCAGGGTTGTCAAGAGAAGCCTCTAAAAAGAAGTCAGAAGTACTTCACCCTACAGGCTGATTTCATTTCAACATAATTATCCTCTGATCGTGTTGACGTGGTTTTAATTGTCTTACGTGTTAAATTCTCTAAGATGTTTAAAGGCTTGTGTTTGTTTCTAAACAAGAGTCTGCAACATCTGTTCCAACCGGTTTAGAGATTTTTCTTGTATTAATCATATGGACGACTGTGTGTGCAGCTCCTCTTTGGGGAAAAGAGAGGCAGAGCCTGCGGGGCAGATGGAAATCAGCGCAGCGACAGATGAGAGGTTTGTTTAGCCTTATTTTCAGCAGAGTCATTTTAAAGATGTAAATGAACGATATTTCAAGTGTGGTCATGCGTTTCCTCTCTGAACTCCACTGTTGTCAAACCTCAGAGGTTTAGTTGAGTCCCCAAACGCATGATTAATAGTCCCAAATAAACAGATTGAACTAAAGACACTTGTGTTAGGTGCACTTCTCATCTTAAGATCTATTAGTCATGATCTGGATCAGCGGGCGTGTGTGAAACACACACTGGCTGAAAGTGACCCCCTCACCGTGCAGGCCTGGATGTCAACGCTCCACTTCTCCCGTTGTGACCAGTTATTGTCCAAGTAGAAGACTGTGTGACAGAGTCAAGTAGTGGACATTTATCATGAAGGGGGTACCCTCAAACACGAGCAGCACCGGGCCCCTCTCCTGCAGACAGATCTCAGACAAGCCGTTCTTTGTCCCGGTCCATGTTCTCCCCTCCACTCCTCTTCTCACCACTCAGGGCTGTTGCCGGGCAGCTCCATCCCTCTGCTCCCTCACCGTGAGTGTTCTTTTGATCAGCTTTCACAAACTGAAAAGGTGACAACCTTGACTCCAACAACTTGTCTGCCGTTCATCCATATTTCAGCATCTGCCAAGCAGGACATTTACAATTCTCCTTTCATGAACGCAACCTCAGATCTTGTGAAATTTTAATGCCACGCTGATTTAATCTAATCACTCCTCCTGTTTTGCAGCTCTGGCACAGACAGGTGTGGGATTACAATTAAAGTTGCTCTGTCTGCTGTAATGTGGCCACCTGTGGGCTTAGATACCTGCTCTAAACCACACCTCGCAGAGGGCTTGTCTTTGAAGGAGCTTTTCACATTCTTGGCCGGTTAGAAGGGGGCTTATGAGCGGGTGCCCGGCTGCAGGAGATTCCTGGACGAAGGCCAGCGCTTACAGCATGGTGCACATATAGCTCAAGAGGAAAGAAGACTTTAACGTTAATGTTGTGTTAGCAGATTGCACAAATGCTCAGAGTGCATGTTTGGAGAGGTGGAGAGAGGAGGAGAAGAAGGTTTCCTCCGTTTAAATGGTGAAGTAAGCGTGTCTGTGGTTGAAGCCTTACTAATATGCTTTCCAGCACTTTCCCTGGATATTACACAGATAAAGAGGAAAGCACACAGTTAGAAAAGAGAATGGGACTTTGTTAAATTCTGTTGCTCTCCAGCTCTGTGGCTGTTTGTCGTCAAGTGCTTGCCAGGATGAAACTCTGCAGAAGCCTCATTAGAAAGAAGAAAACCTCTTCATCAGGTTCATTTGCTGTCTTTTGATATTTGCATCATTACTAAAAGAAAGAAAAATAAATTTCCAAGTTTGAATAGTTACAGTAAGGCCTGCTCTATTAAGTGTTTGTCTTGTGCACAGGGACCCCTAGTGGTGTGAATGAAAATTTGGATTGCACACTCCGCAAAGACAAGAACAAAAAGAGGTGAGTGGGGCTCATAGAGAAAAACTACAAAGAGGACTGTGAATGTGATGAATGTGAGGAGGTGGAGCTGTACCTTTGGCTGCCACATTTTAGAGATTCTGATTGTCAAACTGGCAGTGAAGGCAACATTCCCTCTGTCTTTCTTCTCAGACACAAACTCGCTCCTCTATACCTCCACCCATCTCGTACTCAGGCTCCAATATCCTCTGTCCTGCTTTGAAGATGTTGAGGAATAATATTGACAGAGTCTCTGGTGAAATGTTATTGTGGTTTCTCTTTCTGGATCTCATGGGAACAAGTGGGGGTACTGGGTTGAAGATAGCTTAAAAACGGGTGGATAGTTATGTTTTTAGTGTGTTAAAGGTTGCCAGGAAGGTTTTACAGGTATCTGCTTAATCCAGGCTGGGCTAAAGGAAGTGGGATGTGAAATCTGTTGTTCTCTGTTGTTCTCCTGGTTTCGCCAGCTGTACACCAACACATGCAGCAGATGGTTATCTGTCTTTCTTCATCTTCCCGAAGGAGCAAAAGCAGAAGGAGAAAGATGAGAGGAGGAGATAAAGTGGCAGGGGTCATGTTCAGGGCTGTTTGTCCAGAAGTCTCTCGTCCAATTTTTTTAAACATCTGTCGTTGTTTTGGACAAGGAAAGAAGGGAATGGCTGTGGGGGAAACAGTGGCAATGTGTCCTTAATTATTAAAGTTATTGGGTTTTTTTTTTTTTTTTTTAGAAATGAGGCCGTTTTTGAAGTAGAGGAGGTTTGTGTTTTAGGAGCCATCTGTGGGTATTTTTTTCTTAATTGCAAACTGTGCATATCTATAATTTACCAAAACTGTCCGAGTTTTAGGCACATCCATTCATTTGCATGGAACCTTTCCTGTATACTATAAAGATGCAACTTGTTGATTCTCATTGGTGGAAAGGATCAAGCAGGACACATTTCATATCTTTATGAATAATTTGTCTTCTCAGCCAAAAACAGCAACAAAAACAGCTCTGTCCTCATTTTATGTTTTAGGAATTCAGTTACCAGGAAAGGTGGAGGTAATGTTACTAAAAATGCTGTAAGTGAACTGCTTAAGCGGCTGCCAAAAAGGGGCAAACCAAGTCCCAACATGACAGTAAAAAACCTTCAGAAAGATTTATCAGAATGTGAAGGACTGGTGTTTAACTGCAGCTGCACCTGCACAAATATGACCTTCACAGAGAAGTCATGAGAGGAAAAGCTTTTTAACACCTTAAAATAAAAAGTCTGCTGTAAATGAACAGGATCTGAATGAGTCTCAGGGATCTTGGAGGCAGAATTGTGGAGTTGAAAGAGAGTTGTTTTGCTCAGTTAAAAAGTTGGGGCAACTTTGTAGATGCTGGCATGTTTCATTCGAAGAGGGGGAAATGGATTTGGGTAAATGTTGGCAGAGTCAAAACGGATTATCTGAACCCGCTTGTCCATGCAGGGTCACAGTGGGGGGCTGGTGCGTATCTCCAGTAGTCAACATGCAAATAGGCGGGGTTCACCCTGGACATATTTCCAGTCAACACAGAGATACACAAGACAAACAACCACGCACACACACACACTTACACCTAAGGATAATTTAGAGAGACCAGTTAACCTAACAGTCATGTTTTTGGACTGTGGGGGGAAGTCGGTACCCGGAGAGAACCCATGCAAGCACAGGGAGAACATGCTGAGAGACCCCAGGTCGGGATGTGAACCCAGCACCTCCTTGCTACAAAGCAACAGCGCTAACCGCTGCAGCCTAAGAAGGAAATAAAAAACACAAAAAGAAGATGACGTCTGACAGGCTAAAGATGTCTCTTATCAACTATATAATTGTGCAATCTGGCTCACTGTCCTCTAATCAAAACATAATTAAGGATTTTTTTTGGTAGACTTGTACAGACGTATGAATTAAAAGAACATGACAGAACCAAAACATTTTGCAAGAGGAGTTTATGAATTTCATCAAACATCCATCCATCCATCTATCTACCGTCTTCCTCTTGACCGGGTACAGTCACAGGGGCAGCAGCACTAAACAAAGACGCCCAGACTTCCCTCTCCCCAGCACTTGAGCCAGCTCCTCCAGGGGAATCCCAAGGTGTCCTGGGTCTTCCTTTAGGTCTCCTCCTGTGGATGTGTCAGGAAGATTCTCCAAGGGAGAGTCCAGCCACTCTGCAGAAATAACTCATTTTGTCCGCTTGCATCTGTGATCTCAGTCTTTCGGTCACTACCCAAAGCTGGTAACAATGAGTGAGGGTTTAAGAACCTATTGACTGGTAAATCGAGAGCTTTGCCTTCCAGCTCAGCTCTCTCTTCACCATGAAAGACCAGTAAAATGTCCACATCACTGCAGACGCAGCACCAATTGATTTTGCACTCCATCTTTCCCTCACTCGTGAACAATTGAACCCAAGATACTTAAACCCCTCCACTTGAAGCATGACCTTGTCCCTGACCTGGGGAAGGAATTCTATGTTTTTCCGATTCAAGACCATGGTCTCGATTTTAGAAGAGCTGATGCTATCCTAGCTGCTTCAAACTCGGCTGTGGACTACTCCAGGGTTCATTTCAAGATCCTGGTTCTGGTCTATAGGGCCTTACATGGACAAGCACCATCTTACATGGGTGATCTTCTTAGTCCCTACGCCCCCAGCAGGTCCCTGAGGTCCAGTGACCAAAGCCTACTAGTTGTGCAGCGCACCAGGCTAAAGACCAAAGGTAACAGATCATTTGCTGCTTTGGCCCCCAGACTCTGGAACTCTCCCCCTGAGATTAGTGGACTCAGTGGTCTCCTTTAAAAAGCAGCTGAAAACTCACCTGTTCAAGCTTGTTTTGGTGTGACCTTCATCACCCTCTCCTTGTTCTGCTCTCCCCATGTCACGAACTCCTCCAGCTGACTGCATTCCATTCATTCCTGCCACCAACGTGGCGACTGACGTCATCACGCCGACACTACTTAAGGAAGTGCCGGCGTTTCATTCATTGCTCAGTCATCGTTCTCACCAGACTTTGTATCGAGTCTCCAGGCTTACCAGCCCTCAAAACCTTCCAAACTACACCTTCAGGAGACAACCACGCCGGTTATCTCCGTCTCTCCACGTCTGGGCAACCGAACTCTCAGTCACGCTTCTGATCTGC